GAGGGGGGGGCTACAATAATAACAAATTGATGATCGAGCTACTGAATGAATAAGCTGCTGCTGCTGCTGCTGACTAAAGCAAAGCAAAGCACAGTGCAAACAAAAGGAGAGCACCACATCACAGTACACACACNGGGCTACAATAATAACAAATTGATGATCGAGCTACTGAATGAATAAGCTGACTAAAGCAAAGCGCAGTGCAAACAAAAGGAGAGCACCACATCAGTACACACACTGCCCGCAGATTGCGGCAATGCTCACTACTGGCCACTGCTGAAGCTGCTGGAGCTTCAAGCGAATCTCCCTCGCTTTGATTGCTCCTCTTCTCTGTGTGTTTGCACATACTCGAACATCGAAGTATATGCAAATAGAACCGAACAGTACTGTAGTGCTGCCATTCAAGAGCACTGTCGACACACACACACACACACTGTGTGTCCGTTCTCCTCCCGACACTGTCCGATCGATTATGCAGATCGAGGTTCCTGGCATGATGTTGCATCTCTTTGGAGATGAGATTCACCAGCAGCAGCAGCAGCAGCAGCCACCGCAAAATTTGGTGCCATCGACCGGCGACCAAAAAGACCATTAGTCATCGCCGCCCTGTTCTGCTCCGCTATCTCACACACACTGGTCGCGCACCATGGCCTTCTTCTTTTCCTTCTTCCTCGGTATCTCCTCTTTCTTATTTGCTTGCCTTGCTTTCAGTTTATCATCACGATAGCTGAAGAAGAAGAGGAAGAGAAGGAGAAGAGCATCCTGCATCCTGAATAGCACGAGCAGCATCTTTTCTCTATCGAACAGCAGCAGCAGCCTCTCTTCATTATCGCTCTGTTGCTGCTGCTGCTGTTCCCCTTGTGGTTGTAATTGTAATCTGGGCGCCTAATTATCGTCCATTTGGTGGCCCATTAACGGGTGCTCCTGCTGATGCTGATGCTGCTGGTGGTGGTGAAGTCGCTGACGTTGATGGTGTGCTGATGATGATTATGGTGGTGGTGGTGGTGGTGAAATGCCGCCACTGCTCTTCATTTTTTTGGGCGATTGATGATGGCGGCGGTGGTGGTGGCAGTTCTGTTGATGTCACTGTTTTTGCCTGGTTGCCTGGTTAGGAGAGGAGGAAGAGAGGAGCAAAAGCATCAAAAGTGGCACACTTGTTGACGTGTGTGGGGCAGAAGCTGCTGCTGCTGCTACTGCTACTGTCCTCCTTGTTGTCCTGTTTGTTCACGTTTTCGTGTATTTGTGAGGAATGTGATTGTGAATGGAAAGGAATGAGCTGGAGTGTGTTTGGTAGCATCATTTGTAGAGCAACTAACAGCAGACTTTTTTTCTGGCTGGCTGTTTGGAAAGCTGTACTGCAAGCACACACACTGAAAATGTGTTTGTGTGCTGCTTTTCTCTCTGATTTGTTTCGGTGAGCTGTTGAGTAACGGCCTGCTTGTCGGTTCCTATCTGTGCCTTTCCCTCTGCGACATTGACTCCTGCTGTCGTTGTCTGTTTCTGTAGTTGTCGCTGTCTGTTTTTCAGTCTTGATTTATCTGTCGCTTTTAGCCATTTTTCTTCTTCTTCTTGTTCCCTTGTTTGTGTGTGTGTGTGTGTGTGTGCTCTATCACACTACACTTTTTGTACAGTGTTGGCCAGCTAGTGCTAACTGTCTGTCAGACTCTGTCTGCCTGTTTTCCTGTATCGATCGAGCGCAGAGATTGATAGTGCATGGGATAGTAGTAGTGCACACTGTGCTGTGCTTAGTGGAGGTTTCCCTCGTGAGTTGTCTAGTTGGTTGACGTATAGTTGAAAAGTATAAAAGTGAAGGTGGTGGGGGTGGACTGATGGATGAAGTCTGAAAGAGAGAGGTCGATCGGTTGAAGGATTGCAGACTGCTGCTGCGGCTGATGACGGTGGTGGTCTATGTTTGCGGAGGCGAGCTTTGAGGGCATCCACCGCCCCACTTTTATCTTCTACGGCTGCAGCTGCTGCTGACCGCCTCTGCCTATTTCAGCAGGAGCAATTACTCTTCGGCAACTTTCAATTTGCAACAACTGCCGATTAGGGTGATCGGAATGATCGAGGCAAAGCTGCTGCTGCTGCTGCTGCTTCGAGGGTGGGCAATTCAATTAGGTGGCGAGAAGATGAGAAGAGAATGAGTGTCGATTTAGACTGATGGTACTGCCTGGATTTGTGTTTTACTGCTCCTAGGTTTTTATATGATTGCCAATTTGAAGAATGGGAGACGGCGGCAGCTAATCCTGTGAGCATGATGTGTGTGCTTTCATCATTTTGGATCGCAGATTTGGAGTGTTTTTTCGTTCACAAAAAAAAGATAAAAGAACATTTGTTTGAGCTGAGCCGGTTTGGTGCTGCTGCTGCTGCTGCTGTTGTTGTTGTTCCTTGTTTATTCGTCATTTGTTCTCCTTTCCTCTCCATCTCTTCTCCCCTTTGTATTTTTTCACCCATTCATTGAAGACTGTACACTGTACAGTAGTGTGTGCCGCCCGTTGAGTGGTCATTGCCGCTGATGCTGCTGCTGCCGCCGATGTGTTTCCCTCTCTCTGTGTTTTTATTTCAAGTGGGGTTGTTGTTATTACAACTACAACAGCAGCCATCACCATCACCTAGTCCTCATTGAGCTTCTTTTTCCTTATTTGTTCTTCATGACTGCTATTGTGTCTGCCAGAGAGTGAGAGAGGTGCTCTTGTAGCTCTTCCTCTCAATGTTTTGGCTGCTGCTGCTGCTCGAGCTGTTGTGTATGTGTGTTCGTTTGAGGCGCACAAACACAACAGCTTTGCACTCTTCTAACTGCTAACTCGGATGTTGTGTTTGTATGTGTGAGTTGATGGACTGTTGTTCTTTTCTCTGGTGAGGGTTCAGCCTGGAGAGAGGTGACAAGTGGGGTGACACCGCGGTGATGTCTGTTCCTTCTCCAGCTCTCTCTCTCTCTCTCTCTCTCTCTCTCTCTCTTCTGTCCCCTCCTCCTACTCCTACTCCTACTCCTGTCCTTATCACTGCTCAGTGAAAAGCAGGCTTTACTTTCTGTGTTTACCTAAGACAATCGGTCTTTTTGCTGCTCTGGTGGGGGAGAGTACCCAATTATCCAATTACCGGCAGTAGTATAAACCGTTTTTACTTTTCTCCGTTTTTATATTTGCCTGTTCTAACTTTGCTCTATTTTTTTCCTCTCTACACTTTAGATTGAGGGCTGTTGCAAAACTCTCTGCAGCATCAGCTACGACGACACAACTGCTCATCTCACTGTGATCATCATCGCCACCACCACCACCACCACCGGTGGCACACTAGTAAACAGCCGAAAGGAGAGGGAAACATTTCCAAACACACGCAAACACATCTTCAAACTTTCCCTCCCCGTTCACTCTTCTCAACCGACGACCACTGCTTCAATTGCCAATTGCGGCCTTTCTTTCCTTCCACATTGACTGACTGACTGACTGGCCACTGACTGAGAACACACACACACCGACAGCGAAGTGATTTGCACGCGGCAGCGTTTAATTGACTTGGAATTAACGCGTGCTCGCCCGTGTGTGTCTGTCTCTACTTCATCATCATCAGCACTAGCAGTAGTGGCAGCCGGAAAGGTTGACGCTAACTCGCTCTCTCCCTTTCCCTTTCCCTTTCACTCAAACTCGTGATTGGAATTGACAGCTTGGAAAGCCGCCGCCGCCGCCGCAACTTGGAGGGCAGTCTCTCTATTTGTGGACTTCGAAAAGAAGAGAGAGAAAGATAGAAAAACGAGTTGATTTATGAATTGTGACGACTTCTCGGTGGTGGCTTCTTCAATACTTGCCGATCATCGTCTGTCCAGCCACCACTACTACTGCCGCATCAGCATCAGCATCAGAGGATGCAATATTTCACATTGCTGACTACTACCACTACTACGACTACGTGCAACAACGACGACGACAACAACAACAGCAACACCGTCAGCATCAACAACAACAACATTAGCAGCAACAGCAGGAGCGGCGGACATACCAGCGACGATCTTCATCCTGCCGCCGCCGCCGCCGCCGTCGTTGCTGAAACTGCTGTACACGGCAGTTGCCGAGCAGTTGCGGAGCTCATCAGCTTGAAGAGAAAAGCTTCCTGCTGAAGTGAGCTTTCGGTGGGAGGGGTGGAAAGTTTTGCGCCGATTGTATCCTCTCCTCCTCCTCCTCCTGCTTCGTTTGATCCCCATAAAAGGTCCTATCGGTGGCAGATTGAAGAGGAGATATATCTCCTCCAACTTCAGTTGACCACCACCACCACCACCACCTGGCACTTCTTCCCCTCCTTTTCTCTCTTGAGATCGAAGATCAAACACTACTACATACTGTGTTCTCTTGTCTTCTGCTGTGTCGTTCATTCATCGAGAGAGATAGAGGCGGTGGCGGCTCTGTAAAGGTCAGCTGCTGCTGCCGTTGCTGTTGTGGTTGACGTTGATCTCTTCTCCTTCTCCTTCTTTCTTTGCTCACCATTCTCATCATCATCATCATCATCAGCCAGCATCGGCATCGGCATCAGCCTCAGCATTACCACCACCACCACCACCACCACCATCCTCGTGCTTCAATCGCAGCCCATTAATCACTGCATGTCAGCAATATGCCTACACACTTTAGGTTCGTGTTCTCTCGTTCTCTCTCTCTCTCTCTCTCTTTCAGTTTTGATCGCCGCCGATCGGCTGTTTCTGCTTCTGCTTCTGCTGCCCTTTGCCTGTGCTCTAGTACTACTACTACTGCTATCAAACGGGCAAGCACACACTGATCGATTGAATGTTTACCTCTTCCTGTCAACTGTCAACAAAGCGGCAGTTCGGTGGCGGCAACTTCGGCAGAGCAAACGGCAACGGCAGAGAGCGAGCATCGGCGGCCGGTCCTTTTGTTTACCTTTGCATTTGTTGGAGAATCGAGTTCTCTTCTGAGTTTCTTCCTCCTTCTTATTTTCTGTTTTCCCTTCTTTTACCCTTACATCATCCCCATCACCATTACCCTCTGCAGGGCGGGCAACTTGAAGGACCCCGAGATTTCTCAATATTTTGATAAGGAAGATCCGGAGAAGATCTTCACCGACCTGCGCGAGATTGGCCATGGCAGCTTCGGCGCGGTCTACTATGTAAGCTCTTTTTTTGTAAAGAGGACTGTTTGTTTGACCTTTATTTGACCACATATTTTCCCTCCCTTTTACTAGGCACGCAATATCGCCACCAAGGAGGTGGTCGCCATCAAGAAGATGTCCTTTACGGGCAAGCAGTCGACGGAGGTAGATTAAACTAGAGCTCTTTTTTCTATTAACAAGCGTTTTTATCCCATTTTTAGAAATGGCAAGACATCCTCAAGGAGGTGAAGTTCCTGAAGACGGTAAAGCACCGGAACACCATCGACTACAAGGGCTGCTACCTGAAGGAGAACACCGCCTGGCTAGTCATGGAGTACTGCCTCGGCTCTGCGTCGGACATTATCGAAGGTACTGACAAACACACTCATTTCAATCAATTTATTCAAAACTAACTCCTGCAACCTTTTACCTCTTCTAGTCCACAAGAAGCCGCTTCGCGAGGAGGAGATCTCCGCCATCTGCCACGACAGCCTGAAGGGGCTGGAGTACCTGCACTACCAGTGCCGCATCCACCGGGACGTCAAGGCGGGCAATATCCTCCTCACCGAAGTGGGCACCGTCAAGCTGGCGGACTTTGGCTCGGCCTCGATGGGCTCGCCGGCGAACTCCTTCGTGGGGACGCCCTACTGGATGGCGCCGGAGGTGATTCTGGCGATGGACGAGGGCCAGTACGACGGCAAGGTGGACGTCTGGTCGCTGGGCATCACCTGCATCGAGCTGGCGGAGAGGAAGCCGCCCTACTTCAACCTCAATGCCATGAGTGCCTTGTACCACATTGCGCAGAATGAGGCGCCCACGCTCAATCAGATCTACCACGGGGGCAGTCACCACGGCGGAAGTCATCACGGAAGTGCTCCAGGGGGAGGTGGTGGAGGGCATAATAATCAGCAGCAGCAGCCGCCCCCTGACTGGTCGGACGCCTTTCGGAACTTTGTCGCCTCCTGTTTGAGGAAGTCGCCGGCGGAGAGGCCTACCTCCAGTGCCATGTTGACGGTAGGAAGATCTGATTTTTTTTGGAAGGTTTTGGATGTTAACTTTGGTGTTCCCCCTCTTTGTTTAGCACTCATTCATCACCCGTCCGCGCTCCGCCACCGTCATCCTCGACCTGATCAACCGCACGAAGACGGCCGTCCGCGAGCTGGACAACCTCAACTACCGGAAGATGAAGAAGATTCTCATGGTGGAGAGTCGGGACTCGGACATGAGCAGCGCCAACAATTCGGCCTCCTCCACCAATGAATATGAGAGTGATGTCAATGTGAGTGTGGACTGTAGTTTTGCTTTTGTCGTTTTTTACTAACTATTTTTTTGGATTTTTCAGGAGGACCTGCAGAGCAGCAGCAGCAGGGCCGTTGCTGCCAACCGAGCCAATCTGCACGCCAGTCGGTCGCCCAGTAATCACCACCACCACCCTCATCCTCACCACCAACACCAAAATCACCACCACCATCAGCCTCATCACCTCAACCAGCAGCACAATATTCACCAGCAGCAGTATCCTGGTGGACCTCAATCAGCAGGGCCCTACGGGGCACATAGTCAGCAAGCCTCAAAGAGTGGATATCCTCCTCACCATCAACAGCAGTCCACAAGCCAGCAGCAGCAGCCAGTGTACGGCAATCTGCTGAACAGTAGCGTCAGCAGCTACAGCAATAACGGAAACAGCAGCAGCGGCAATGGCAATGGAAACGGAAATAACAACAAGAGCAACAGCGTGGCCAGCTACGGCAGCCGACAGTCGGGCGGGCTGGTGAGCAGTCAGAGCAGCAGCACCAGCAGCATACCGGCGGCCAACTCCGCCTCCGCCTCCACCACCGAGCTGGACCACTGTCCGAGAAGTGGGCTGGGACGGGGAGAGGCAATGCTAGGGGATAGTTCTTATCGAAATCCGCTCTCGCTGAGAAGAGAGTCGGCGAGCTCATTCAGCGCCGGCGGCCAGTCGAGTCGGGTTAGTCCTTCGGTGAGAGTAGTTTTGTTTTGTTTCCTTTTATGTTCTTTGTGGACTAATTTTTTCTTTCCCTCTCCTCTTTGTTTCTAGAACTCCTCCGCCAGCATCAACAGCACCGAGATTTGTGTGGGCGCTGGAGCCCCCGGTACCGGCGGCAATAACGACCCAAGCGGCCTGGTGGACGGCGTGCGCCTGGGCGGCCGCGCCCACCACCACAACAACAACTTTGCGACGCTGCGCACCACGTCCATCGTGACACGGCAGCTGAAGGAGCACGCCCGGGAGAATCAGCTGCACGAGCAGATGTCCGGCTACAAGCGGATGCGCCGGCAGCACCAGAAGGCGATCATCCAGCTGGAGATGCGCTGCCGGGCGGAGATTGAGGAGCACAAGACGAAGCTGGACAAGGAGTACGAGACGCTGCTGCAGGCCTTTGGCAAGGAGCTGGAGAAGCTGCAGCTCAAACACCAGGCGGAGCTGGAGAAGAAGGTAAGTGAAACTGATAAGCTTCAGTGTTTATATTTTCAACCAAAACTCCAACTAACTCTCCCAGCTAAAGGGCAACGCCGGTCAGGAGCGGAAGATCAGCAAGCAGATACTGGCCGGCCAGGAGGAGGAGCTGAAGCGGTCGGCGACGCTGCACAAGCGCGAGTACAAGTGCATCAAGGAGCGGCTGAAGCGGGAGTGCCCCACCACCGACGACTACAAGGCCCGGATTGGGGAGCTCCAGCGGGCGCATCAGGCCAGCCTGAGCAAGCAGCAGCAGACGAACCAGGAGTACTACCGCGCGGAGATTCGCAAGTTTCGCCGCCGGAAGTTGATTCAGTTCAACCAGACGGAGCGGGAGCTGCTGCGGGAGGAGCTCAACAAGCGGCAGGGCCAGCTGGAGACCGCCCACTCGATGCTGATGCGCCACCATGAGATCACCCAGGAGCTGGAGTACCACCAGCAGCGGGCGATTCACACGCTCCGTGAGGAGCAGATTCGGAAGCAGCACAACACCGAGCTGAGCAACCAGAATGAGTACATTGCCAAGCAACTGAGTGAGCTGCACAAGAAGCACGCCCTGGAGGTGAAGCAGCAGCCGAAGAGTCTGAAGGCGAAGGAGGTGCAGATTCGCAAGCAGTTTCGGGAGACCTGCAAGACGCAGACGCTTCAGGTGAGAGAGAGTGATTTTGGTGTTTGGGGTTTTTTCAATTTTCAATCTTTTTGTTTTTGTTTTGCAGTACAAGGCCTGGAAGGAGCAGATTCTCAGCTCGACGCCGAAGGAGGAGCAGAAGATGGTGATCAAGCGGCTGAAGGATGAACAGGTGCGGAAGTTGCAGATGCTGGGCGAGCAGTACGAGCAGAGCATCGCCGACATGCTCCAGAAGCAATCGGTCAGTTGGCGATTGGCGACTTTAGTTTTGCCAACAAAAGTTTTTTACTAATTTTTTGCTTTTTCTTTTACTTCCGCTTTGCAGATTCGCCTCGACGAGACGCAGGAGCTGGAGGAGCGGCAGCTGCGCGAGCAGCTGGAGCAGGAGAAGGAGCTGCTGATTGCCTTCCAGAGCAAGATCAAGATGCAGGCGGAGATGCAGCGGACGAAGGAGCGCACCGAGCTGGAGGAGCGGGTGCGCATTCGCAAGCAACTCCTCGAGAAGAAGGTAAGACTGAGGACTGGGGAAACGGGTGCGAATTCTATTGTTCTAACCCTTTCTCTCTCTCTCTCTTATTTTTGCAGATGGAAAACGAGCGAGCGCAGTTTCAGGACGAACGCAACGAGCGCCGGAGGCTGCTGCTGGAGCGCCAGGCACGGGAGATTGAGGAGTTTGACCTCGAGTCGACGGCGATGGGCTTCAATGCGCTGGTCATTGCGGACGCCTCTGCGGAGCCCTACGGCAGCACCTTCTTCGATGGAGTAGGCGGGGGAGGGGGCGGGGCTGACGGCGATGCCGCCAGCGTCAGCGGCGGCAGCCTCCTCTCGCTGGCGCACAGCAACAGTGCCACCTCCTTCACGCACACTGCCCTGTAGCTGCCCTGTGCTTGTTGTTGAGCCTGTCCTTTTGTACATTTTGTAGCATAATCCCTCCCCTCCCCTTAGCACCTCCTCTTTTGTCATATTTGTACTTTCCTAACTCCTTTCTCTCTGTAACTACTACTACTACTAGTTTTGTTTTTGTTATTTCTACTTCTCAACTCCTTTTCCTTGATTTCCTCTTTCTCTTCTTCTTTTACTTTCTGTACATAACAGCACCCACACACACCCACACTGGCCGCGACACAGAGACAGTTTCTTCTTCTGCACAGCATTTTATCTCTTTTCTTTCTTTTCTGCGGAGTTTCAGACTGCAAAGTGTTGAGCTGGTGGTGGTGGGCGTGTTTTCACCTTTATTTATACTTTGAACTCCCTGCTACCACCGTCAACTCTGCACAAGATCAAAGACCCTTTCCTTCCTTTCTTTTCCTTTTTTATTCTTTCACCCACACACACACAATTATTTAAAGAGCCAATCACACACTTGTTTCATTTGATTCGATATTTAAGAAAAAAAAAGAAAAAAGATCATTTAAATGATGTCACGCGTTTTGATGATGAAGGAGATGATGATGATGCAAACCTCTCCGGTCTCTACTCATAAACCTTGGCGGTGACCGACTGCACCGGGCCCGTCTTCCACTGCGCCTCATTCTCGTCGATGATGGCCGTCTCCACGGTGACGGTGTAGTTGCCCGCCGCCTTGAAGGTGAGCAGAAACTGCGACTGAAAGTAGTCGTTCAGCGGGACCACCACGGAGTGCATCGAGAGGACCGGCGAGGCGGTGGTGGAAGGCTCAACTGCAGCCGCCCCAGCCCCTACAGTGGACGCAGGGGCGGGCGTGGCGTTCAGCGTGAGGAGAATCTTGTTGACGCGGCGAATCTCCCGACAGTCGCCGTCGAGGCGGGACTCTCGCGGACTGGGCGGCGGCACCAGAAAGGAGGCGCTGGTGAAGGCCAGCGAGGCGGCCGCCTTGGAGGAGCTGGACTGCGAGGATCCGAGGTTTCCGCCATTGGCACTGGCGGAGGCCGCCGCCGCCGCCGCCTGCAGTCCACTGCGACTGTTCACGACGACGCCCTCGATGTTGAGGACGAAGCTGGTGTTGAGGGCGATCAGCAGGTGCGGCTGCGGGCTCAGTTCCAGCTTAATGGACGTCGCCTGGATCGACTGAAAGTAGAAGCGGGGAAAGGGCAGCGAGACGGCGAGGAGGCGGCTGCTGAGGTGCTGCAGAATGGCCACCTGGCGGGTGAAGACGGACAGAAAGTGGTGGGGGCTGTCACTGGCAGAGGAGAAAGACGAAGAAGGAGGAGGGGGCGTGCCCGAGCCGGCACTATCATCGCCGAGCATTTGAACATCTGTGGAGGTGGAGGAGGCGGTGGCCCCTGCCGTCATTTGCTGGTGCTGCTGGTGAATGTCCGCCAGACTGAGCAGCTGCCGACTGCGCACCAGGTCGGTGATCAGCGTGCAGACGTCCTCCAGCTCCTTGTGCTCGATGATGGAGGGCGTGGAAGGAGAGGAAGTGGAAGAGGATGCTGGAGAAGAGAAGCTGTTGGAGCTGTTGCCTGAAAAAGAAGAAGAAGGAGGTAGACCTCCATCAAAAGAGCCGTTGGAAGTGATCATTCCACTGCTGCTCGAAGATGTCTCATCGCCGCCGATCACCACTCCCCTGGAGGGCACAAAGAGCGAGTTGATGCGGTGACTGCCCTGAAAGAGGTTCTCCACCACCTCTGCGAGGATGGTGCAGCAGTGCTGCAGCAGCTGAATCGCCGTCAGGCTATTGGCGTCGGCGTTGAAGGAGGCCTGGTAGAGGGCGCTGTAGGCGGTGGCCAGCGCCCGAAAGTGGGCGGAGACCTTGCGCATGGAGCTGACGATGCGGCCGCACTTGATGAAGTCGTCGCTGGAGCTGGCGCCCAGGGCGGACAGGTTCAGCCCCGGCTGGCTCTGCCCGCCACTTCCGCTGGTTGAAGAACTTCCCCCGCCCCCTTGACCACTCCCACTCCCACCACTACCTACAACGCCGGTCATTGCGCTGATGGGCGGCGGCGACGACTGGAGCAGTTTGCAGCAGGCGCGAAAGTGCTGATGGGCCTGCAGGTACTTCAGGCGGAGGCGGACAAACTCGCACTGGAAGCGCATCGGCGTCCCATTGGAGACCGCCGCCTTCAGGTGGGTCACGCCCTCGATGTAGCTGGAGACGCTCCGGGCGAGCTGCTCCTCGAAGCGGGCCTCCTCCGCGGGGCTCCCTGTGAGGTCAAAGTCCTTTGATGATGTGGACGTGGTCTGCCTCAGGCAGCTCTCCGCCTGGGCCACCCTCGCCAGGCTGTTGATCCAGAAGTAGGTGTTCTCGATGGGCTCCATGCTGGCCTGCAGCCGGGCCAGCAGTTGGGCGGCCAGGCCGTGGTGGGAGTAGCGCATCGCCTCGCGCACCACCTTGTACACCGACCAGAGGTTGCTGCCGGCGAGCAGACCGAGCAGCGTCCTCGCCTCGGCCTCCTCCACCACCGAGCCGGTCTTCAGCTGGAAGAAGACCACCAGCATGTTGTGGAGGATTTTGGAGGCCTGCTCGTCGTCATCGCCGCCTCCTTCCTGACCACGGCGGCGGCGGCGGCGTTTGGCCTTTGACTTTGATTTGGAGGCGGAGGACTTTGCCGGAAAGCGACTCTTGAGCAGGTCGAGCACGTCGGCCGCCGTCAGGCTGTGGTTCGCCCAGATCAGCGTGGCGAGGGAGCAGATGGCCTGGCAGGCGTTCTCGAACCAGGCGCCGGTGGGCGTCGCCTTGAGGAAGATGAAGCGCAGCGCCTCGGTGATTTGCAGTATCTCCGGCTGAAACTGTTGCTGTTGCTGCTGCTGCTGTTGTTGTTGACCATTTGCAGCTGATGGATCACTGCCAGTAGAATTGCTGTTGCTGCTGTTTGCCGTCTTTGAGCGACAGAGGACGACCAGGCAGCGAAAGATGGTCTTGAGGGCCTGGCGAGCGTCCGCCCCCTCCACATCAGAGCGGTACTTGCCCAGGAAGAAGGACTCAAAGGCGCAGCAGGTCTCGCGGAGGACGGCGGAGCTGTCGAGAAGTTCAGAGGTGGTAGAAGTGGTGGTGGTGGCAGCATTGCAGTGCAGGCAGATGTTGGTGAGGATGGCGAAGCACTTCGAGACGAGCAGCAGCTGAACCTCTTCAGAGTTTGACGAATTTGAAGTGGAAGCTGAAGCTGAGGCAGCCGCCGACTGGTGGATCACCGAGGTGGAGAAGGCGACCAGTCGCTGGAGGTGCTCCCCCGGGAAGAGCGCCTCGTCGATGAAGATCGAGGGGGAGCCGAGCAGCTCGCTGAGGACGCCCAGGGCGACGCACAGCAGCCGAAGCTCCTTCCCATTGGCCTCGGCGGTGATCGAGGAGAAGAAGGTCGCTCCCGAAGAAGCCGAGTTGCTGTAGCCGAGGAGGACCAGGTCGATGAAGGCGGTGATGCTCTCCCGTTCCCAGAGGTGGGCGCTCTCGCCGGCCAGCAGGCGCAGGTCCCGCAGCACGCTGAACTTCACCACCGAGCGCGGGTCGTTGGTGTAGTACTCGAGCAGGAGACGGACCTGCTCGCTGATGTGCGTCACCGAGGAGACGGCGATGGAGGTGAGAGTGTGCAGGTCCTCGCAGACGAAGGCCCGGCCCGGGTACGTGGCGAGGAAGGCGATCAGCTTCGCCCGGGCGTCCTCGTTGATGCTAAAATTGTGGTGGACGTTGTTGATCACCTCCAGCAGGAGGATCTTGGTGCGCATCGGCGTCGTCAGCCCCTCGATCATCGCCACCACCTTCGGGTAGATGTTCTCCGCGAAGTCCTCGCTGACGACGGCGAAGCGGACGCTCGCCTCGATGGCCGCCTCCACCTCCAGCTCCTCATTGGAGTCGAGGCTGTTGCGGATGAAGTGGTGAATCGCCTTGTGGTGGGCGGCGATGCGGGCGATGCTGCCCAGCGTCCGCAGGGTGATCGACCGCGCCAGCGGATCGTTCGAGTAGCTGACGGCGAAGAGGTGGCGGACGAACTCCTCGATGTTCAGGATCTTGTCGAGGTGCTTCTCGCTGTCGCGCATCACCTGGAGGATGAGCAGGCGGAGGAAGTTGCCGCCGCTGTTGCGAAACACCTCCGCCAGCTTCAGCGCCGCCGAGTTGATCAGTNCAGGATCTTGTCGAGGTGCTTCTCGCTGTCGCGCATCACCTGGAGGATGAGCAGGCGGAGGAAGTTGCCGCCGCTGTTGCGAAACACCTCCGCCAGCTTCAGCGCCGCCGAGTTTATGAGAATGGGAAAGGGGTAGCGGGCGAAGAGCCACGGGTAGCGGACAATGGCCTCACACTGGTCGCCCACCGTCGCCGAGCGGAGGCCCTTGTCCAGCTCGGCGAGGAGTACATTCGCCTCGAGGTTGTAGGAGGAGGAGGCAGAAGAGGAGGAAGAGGAGGAGACGGAGGTGTAGTCGATTGAGGAGTACTGCTGCTGCTGCTGCAGTGGTGGCAACATGATCACCCAAATGATGCTGAAGATAATGTGAGGAATTAGAATTTCGAGGTAAGACTAAGAGGATTATCCTTTACGAACCAGATTCTAAAAGCCCGGAGAGAGAATCCGGCAGCCGGCTAACAACAATAACACAGACTGCTTGGCGGCTACACCGACTACCCTGTCCCAGGAATGGCGAGTTTCGGTGGAAATAGGCAAACAAGGAGCAGCGCCGCTGCGCCGCCGCGCCGCCTCGCAGACAAAGCCTTGCAAACCTGATCTGGAAGCTGTGACTTTCGAATTTCGAATTCCACCTGCAAACCAGCCTGAAGAAATGGAACTTTGGGACTGTCCCCACCCCTCAAAAGTGTCTCCCCCTAAGGTGAGTGCTGATAACGTAATCACACTTTTATTGCTCGTGTTTTGTTTCCACTTTGCAAAGAGCCTTCTCACTGTTTTTTTGAATCTGTTGTCGTTCAGTGTCAGCCCTCTTTTATTATCCCTGTTCCCGAGCTCTACCTAATG